TTTCTAAGTATGCTATATACAAAGATAAAACTAATTCACATGTATCTCCATTTCACATTTAATGATATACTCAGTTGAAAAAGTGGTTGTAAGACTAAGCTGTTTAGTATTTTTCTACTACATTATACCTGGGCCAGAACTGGCTGCCTTCACTCCTTATGTGTATTTATGTGTATCTCTTTTTATCATAAATAATACGCAGTTGAACACCTTTAAAATGTTAAGAATATGAGATGCTCAATGAAGAGCTAAAAAACTTAAATATCTCTAGCAGTATTAGAGCAGAAATGCAAATAATGCAATACATAATCCAAAAAAAAAATTCTATTTAGCCAAATGACCACGTGACCATTCCTTTATCTTAGATTTTTGTCACTCTATACATATGCCATTCCAGTTCCTTCTTTATTAATGATATATAATGGGGCAACTCAAAAGATCCCAAACAGTTAAGAATATTTTCACCTTCCAAAACCTGACATTTCAACTGGGAAGCTGCTGAGCGCCTAAGAACACATACTTCATGAAAGTAAAGAAAACGTACCTTCTGTGTGCACAGCTGACACATAGGTCCAGTTGTACCTCTTCACTATGTCCACCATGGCCCGAGCCTGCTGGGCATCTGAAGGCACGACCCTCATGAAGTACTTGAACAGAGTCTTGTCACTCAGATCCATGCTTGTTGCCGAGTAAGCAATCTGAGGTATGTTGAAAAGCTGGAGCAAGTTCTGGACCTGAATGGCCACAGAACTGGAGCCGGGCCCAATGACCCCTACTATGGGCTTCTTGGAGCGGAAGGAGGAAGAGCCATCCACACAGCGCACCAAACCTTCTTCTTCTTCCGAAGAAATGAGGGAGTCCCTGATGAACTCAATGCTCTGTTCTAGGGCCACAGCCGAGTGCCAGCAGGAATCCCTTATCTCACAGCCCAGTGTGATGTTGGGCAGGAGTGTGGGGTCTGCGTTGATCCTTTCCAGGGTGTGCAGCATGGCTTCCACTCTCTGAATGCCATACTGTTCTCGGACTGCCCCACACTTCCTCTCATGAACTTTGTCCACGGTGGGCTGGTGGTGGACAGAAAACAGAGCTCCAATAATGATGTCACCCGGCATGTGAGCCACCACCCTCCTCTCGCTAGACTGTGCACTCCCACGGACATCTTCTTTCAAAAGCAGCACTGACAAGATCAACAGAAGGACCATTTTAGGAAAGGAGTTCAAGCTAATAAAGACAGCATGGTGGGGAAAACGTAGGAGAGTTCTGATAGAGAGAATCAAACAATGTCCTACGCTGAGTGGCAAACCAAGAAATTAGCCAGTAATTTAGATGTGCTCTCTAAAGGACCACCATGTCCCCAGGTACCGTTTAGTTAGATGAATCCACGTGATCATGATCTTCAAAACCTGGGGGGAAAAATAGCACAGGTATTAATAGTGTAAATGCCACTAGTTTGGAAAGCTCTGATGGTCTATGCTATTGGGGAAAGAGAGGAGTCTTTGATGATGTAAATAACTTGAAAGTAAAAGGGAATATAAAAATCTTTCTGACTATCCTTTGTCTCCTTTGTGAATTTTGTGATGTGATGAAGCAACTGATATAGCTTCTTGATCCTTCTTTCTTAGATTAATATTTTTTTCATTTATTCATTTGAAGTATAGGAAACTGAACCATATGTATAGCAAGCTGAACCATGTTCTCACTTGGGGGTGAGAGAAAGCATCATAAAAGTAAAACTACGCTATGGACAGAAAACCTTAGGGAGTATGAACCCCCAAAATTAAACATTGCTGATGGCTGGGTAGTGGTATTTGTTGTTTTAGAAATGCTTTTTGTTTCTTTCCAAATTTTCAGCATTGAGCATGCATTAATTATACAATTATAATGATAAAGTTACTTAAAGAAAGCCTACATACCCCTTCTTCAAGTGTAACGTAAAGCAAGTTGAATAATCTTTCTAATAAAATAAGTGTGGTGTCTAATTTTCATACATGATAGAACAAAGACAACTGTGGGTATTTCCAAGTTAAATGTTCTACAGGAGAGAAGGAAGAGGTTTGGGGTATCGCAGAGTAAAATGTCCCACATATCGGCAGCAAGTATAGTGACATGAACACCAATTTTTGGAGAACATATTCAGGTTAAGATTCCAGTTCTACTATCAGGAAGTATTAGTAAATTGTTTAACCTCTCTCTCAGTACCTGAATTTCCTCATTTGAAAAAATGGGGATAATATGTGCTAGGCAGCCCTATGGGAATCAGCATGATATCAACCATGCTAATGTTTTATATATTGAATAGGGCTGTACATATTTAAGACATGGCCTTTTCTATTAGTAAATTTCCGAGGACATTCTATGGCTAGGTAGTGAGGAACAGAAAATTCTCTGTCAATCCTCTTGGTTCTCCAGAGTCTTCTAAGTAATTACAGAATCTTGTAATAAAATTCCCAGTAATCAGTCCTCGATCTCTGATCCAGGAAAAAAAAATCCACATCAGGAAGACTCAGTGGGCTGGGAGAATGCATATTTGGACGATCCTTCCAAGTAGACTCATTATAGCTATGAAGATTGTCATTATTTCAGTATAAACTCCAGAGAAGAAAACATTTTGCCAAGTTGCCTACAGAAAATTCTAGCATCATTTGTAAAAGGGAACTGACAAGTTAGTGATTTGGGTTATTTAAAGGATTGTATGAGAGACTTATTTTGTATCTTGTCATCTCTGCCAACCAAGGATCTCAAATTGTTTTAAAGTGACTAACTCCCTAAGCACCGCCTTTCAAAGATAGGTGATGTTTCTTCAGGAATTCAAGCAATTACCATGGTTCTTCAAGAGTACTGATAGTTTCCAAAACTCATCAGATCTGCAAAAATTCTAGCCCAGATGCCAAATGAGTATAATCTGAACTACATTTCTAATCGCTCTCACCCTCATTTTCATCATTTCTTCTACTGTTTCCTATGGCAACAGAGAAAGGCTCCCTCTGTATAGTGCCAAACACTAAAATAAAATTTAAAAACACCTCAAATAACTAGATGTTCCAGAATAACTAGGTTTTTGGCAATATTTAGGAGAAAATGTTATTTTTTTTTTATTTGGAAATTATCTGAATATTCTCAAGCTTTTCCTTCATTCTGCTTAGACCAAAGACCTGGGACCAATGCTTATTTTCATGATCATGTGAATTCTACTGCAGACAAAAAGAAAAATCTAAAGTAAAAGAAATTATAATTTATCAGTAAATCCAGAATATTAGTGAGCAAACTCAATAACGAAATAGGGCTCATTTTTATTATGTAGAAGTATAAAAGTGATATGAGAGACCAGAAATTGACTATCAAACTGATGAAACTAAAATATCAGTACCATGCATTTTATTTATTGGAGCTATTTTAAGCAACTCCTATATATTGAGACATATATATATATGATTAATAAAAATAGATTAACACATATATATAATATTTAACATGTTGCATATACCCAAACTGAAATGCTGTCTTACTATTATAGCTAAATTAATTATTTAACTCACTGCACAAATATCTATTAACTATTGAGCGGGAGACACTAATATATATATACTAGAGGCCCGGTGCACAAAAATTTGCACACTGACGGGGGGGGGGGGAGGGGGTTGTCCCTCAGCCCCACTTGTGCCCTCTCACAGTCTGGGACCCCTCGGGAGATAACGACCTGCTGGCTTAGGCCCGCTCCTGGGTGGCAGAGGGCAGGCCCAATCCCTAGGTGCAGCCCCTGGTCAGGCTCAGAGCAGGGCCGATTGGGGAGTTGGGGCGCCGCCCCCTGTCATGCACAGAGCAGGGCGGATCGGGAGGTTGCGATGTCACCCCCAGTCACGCTCAGGTTAGGGCCAATTGGGGGGTTGGGGCACCGCTCCCTGTCACACTCAAGGTAGGGTCCATGGGGAGATTGCGGCGCCACCCCCTGTCACACACAGAGCAGGGCGGATCAGGGGGTTGGGGTGCCGCCCCCTGTCACCCACAGAGCAGGGCCGATCAGGGGGTTGGGGCGCCGCTGCTGTCACACTCAGGGCAGGGCCGATGGGGAGGTTGAGGCTCTACCCCGTCACACACAGAGCAGGGCCAATCAGGGGGTTGGGGAGCTCCCCCCTATCAGGCACAGAGCAGGGCCGATCAGGGGGTTGGGGCGTCTTCCCCTGTCACACACAGTGCAGGGCCAATCAGGGGGTTGGGGAGCTCCCCCCTATCAGGCACAGAGCAGGGCCGATCAGGGGGTTGGGGAGCTCCCCCCTATCAGGCACAGAGCAGGGCCGATCAGGGGGTTGGGGCGCCGTCTCATCAGGAACAGAGCAGGGTGGATAGGGAGGTTGTGGCTCCGCCCCCTGTCACACACAGAGCTGCAGGGCGATCAGCGGGTTTGGGCACTGCCCCCTGTCACGCTGCTCCAGGGGCCAGGAGGCCTCATGGCTCCGCTGATCCCAGGCTGGGAGGTCTCGCGGCTTCGCTTGACACCGGGGCAATGAGGCCTCGTGGCTCCACTGATCCCGGTGCCAGGAGGCCTCGCGGCTCCGCTGATCCTGGTGCTAGGAGGCATATTACCCTTTTACTATATAGGATAGAGGCCTGGTGCATGGGTGGGGGCCGGCTGGTTTGCCCTGAAGGGTGTCCCGGATCAGGATGGGGGTCCCGCTTGGGTGCCTGGCCAGTCTGGGTGAGGGGCTGAGGGCTGTTTTCAGGCTGGCGGGCGACTGAAGCTCCCAACCTCTCCTTTTTTCTTTTTCTTTTTTATTCTGGGATTTATTTACCTTTTATAGCTGTCACTGGACCTGAGAGCTGGCTTTAGCTCTGAGGCCGGCTCCAGCTTGAGGCCTCAACTGCTGAAAGCAGGGATCTGGGTTTGTTTGGGTTCTATAATTGTAACACTGTTTCGGTCCTGCTGGCTCCAGCTCTGACTGCTGAAAGCAGGTTTCTGGAGTTTTGTTTAGCTTCTATATTTGCAACAATGTTTCTTAGAGAGCAAGCTCAGAGGCCGGCAAGGCAGGCGGGAAACCTTGGCTTCCTCCGTCACTGGAGCAAGCAAGCCTCCTGTTCACTTCAGCTGCCTGGCAGCCGGCCGCCATCTTGGTTGGAAGTTAATTTGCATATCGCCCTGATTAGCCAATGGGAAGGGTAGCGAAGTTATGGTTAATTACCATGTTTCTCTTTTATTAGATAGTAGATATATATATGTATATACACACACACACACACACACACACACACACACACATATATGTATATAAATATAAATAAAGAAATATGCTAATTAACCTGGACACTGTAACGGGTCAGCTGGACAGGAGGTTGCACGCACAGCGTCGGGGGCAGGGCGGCACAGCAGAGGCCTCCGTGCACCTGTGCTGGGGGAGGGCCTGATCAGCAGCGGCTGCAGCTGCTTCAAGGGGCAGAGAGGGAGGCAGGGCCTGATCGAAGGGTGGGCGGTGCCTCGCGATTTCAAATCGCACGCTGGGCTCCTAGAACTAGTATAACAAAGAAGTGCGATGATGTGCATTGATAATTACCATCATTATCTTTCACTGAGCACTCATTATGCACCAGGAACTTATTCTTTAACTCATTTAACAAACATGTATAACACATCTATGCTATGACTCTCTCCTGAGAATTAAAGAGTCAAGAGAGAACAAGGTATAAATGTTCCCTGTACTCTTGAGGCTTACAGATCAGTTCTCTAAAGGTGACTTTAGCTGGAACCTGATGAGTGCAAAGAACAATAAAATGAAGGATAAAAAGTGTGGTCATGTGAAAGTGTGGCTAGAATGGAAGGGTTAGTGGTACAAGATGAGGTTGGAAAGCTAATAAAGGGACAGACCATGTAGAATCTCATAAAATCCAATTTGGGTGTTAAGTGCAATAGAAAGCCATTGAGGAGATGTAAACACATGAGTGGCAAAATTCAATGTTAGGAAAGATGTGCTAACTGCTCATTGTTCTGGATAATGGACTGGAGAAATCTAAATAGAAGACTCATACTAATCTAGGTAAGGATGATAGTGACTTGGCCATGATTGGTAAGAGTAGATATGGAAAGAAGTTTACGCAATCAGATAATTTTGCAAGTAGAATGAACTGGATTTTCAGATAGACTGGATGTGAATAGTAAGGGAGAAAGGAATTAGTGTCCTGGGTTTTGAGTCTACAAAACTAGTGTATTTAGGTACCATTAAAAGAAATGGAGCTTGGCTGGTGTGGCTCAGTGGTTGAACATTACCCTATGAACCAGGAGGTCACAGTTCCATTTCAGTCAGGGTATATGCCCAGGTTGTGGGCTCAATCCCCATTAGGGAGCAATGCAGGAGGCAGTCCATCAATGATTCTTTCTTATCATTGATGTTTCTGTATCTCTCTGCCTCTCTCTTCC